GAATATCTTCTCCCATTCAATAGGTTGTCTTTTCGTTTTGTTGGTGGTTTTCCTTGCTGTGCAAAAACATTTTAATGTGATGTGGTCCCATTTGTTTATTTTTTTTCTTTTGTTTTCCTTACCCAAGGAAATATGTCAGAGATTTATTTTTTAAATCTCTAATCCTAATCCTAACAGAGATTCACTTAAATGCCAGGAACAACAGCAATAATAAAAAAAATATTCCCCTTTTCTTAGCAGATTGGCTCTGAGCTGGGGCATTCCTTTAGCATTTAGTCTGGCTGCCAGCAACTCTGCCTTAGACTTCCCCTTCCACTTGTGTAGAGACTGAAGATCACCTAGAGGTGGCTTAGGATTTTTTTCAGGTCTTTTCTGAGCATGGATCTGGCTCTGGGCATGCACATTGCATTACAGATTCTTTGGCGTATGGGATAGGGTGTGAAAGACCTTATTCCTTTAAGTATCTTCCTCCTTAGCCTGTTCCTTCTCAGGCTTTTTGTCAGTCTGCCGACTGTCCGATCTGCTGTCTCTTGCTCCAGGTAGCTACAGGTAGTATATGTCTTCAAAGCTTTTGATTGACAACAGCCTGAGGAGCTGCATCCATCTGAAGGGAGCCTCAAGATGGGTCAAAATGCATATCCTTAATGTTTGAGAATGAAGTAAGTATTTCACTTCCTGGCACCAGCAAGGTGCCACCAGGGACTCAGGCCACTATTGCTATGTCTGCTGCCAAGATGGAAGATGGTAAATGACTAAGCAAAAAATACTATAATACTTTTTTACTGAAACTTAATGGCTTCCCCCCCACCCTCTTCATGAAGGCCCTTGGTACTCTCAAGTTTTTTGCATATATACAGATTTTTACCTACATATTTCATACATCCAAAAATGTTGATTTTTATGAGTTTTTGCCAGTTTAATTGCTGCTTCAGTGAAGAGACTTATTTTCTGAGCTTTCTACTCTGCCATTTTCCATGACAACATTCTGACATCTATAATTATATTTTTTTAGACAATATTTGTTGATCATCTATGATCAAATTAATGTGATTCCTCTTTATTTCTCTATCCTCTTGTTCACCATACATTTTTGGATAGCAATATTATATTTCTTAATTTTTATCTATTTACTATTAAAATTTTATATTTTTATTACTTGATCTGTCAACTTTAATTATATACATTCTTTAAACCCCAGCTGGTACAAATGAGACAATTGATAATTTTACTACCAATATTTTTCCTCTTTTACTTCTCTAAATGTGTTAATTATTTAATTTCTATATTGTCATGACATTAAACTATTTTATTCTTTTTTTTTGTCAAAGTTCTCTTTATGTGTTTTTGTCTTTATTTTACAAATTAATATTTTCAATACTTATTGCAAGTCCTTTTGCTGTGGTCTCATTCATGTCTTCTCTGATGAATTTAATTCTCTTCTAGTTTACTCTAAATGAACTCATGAGAACAATGGTCACTAAGTATTTGCATTGATAAAGCTGTTTCTTTTTAGTTTTTACACTTTTAGGACAGATGGCTAGATATAACATTCTCAGTTTACCCTTTCTTTACTTGAGTGTCTTGTAGAAATTTCTACACTGTCTTTTGTACTTTGAAGAAAACTATAGTAAGATAAATTTTTGTTCTCATAAGTGGTTTGACTTTCTTATTTGGTTATAAGAAATTATTTACTTACCTTAAAAATGTAATACTTATTTTAATATATATCTCAGAATTGCCTATTGTGGTAGAGTAAATATCCACATCCTAATCCCCAAAACTTGTGAGTATATTACCTTACAGGTCAAAGGGAACTTTCCAAGTGTGATTAAGAAAAGGAATTAGGAGAGATTAGTCTGGTTTATTGGCGTAGACCCAGTGTAAATACAAAGATCCTTTTAAAAGAGGGATTAGCAGGGTCAGAGTCCAGAGAAAGCAACATGGTAATGAAAGCAGATTTAAGAATAAGGTACTTGCTGCCTGGGAAAATGGAAGAGGCCATGAGCCAAGGAACACAGGCAGATTGCAGAGCTGGAAAGGCAAGGATGTGTTTCCCAAATTCCTGAAAAAAAGCCCCACAGACTTGCCAACACCCTGATTTTGCCCAGTGAGACTTCTGATGTTTAGAATTGTGAGATAATAAATGTGTGTTCTTGTCAGTGTATTTGTGATAATTTGGTACAGCAGCAACTAATCCAATATAATAAAAGGTTAATATGCAAATTGATCGAACAGCAGAATGACCGGCTGCTATGACGTGCACTGACCACCAGGGGACAGATGCTCAACACAGGTGCTGCCTCCTGGTGGTCAGTGATTCCCACAGGGGGAGCGCCACTCAGCCAGAAGCCCTGAGCCAGGCTCACGTCTGGAGAGAACAGCACTAAGGATGTCTGACTGATGGTGCAGGCCGGGCTGAGGGACCCCCCAAGTGCATGAATTTCATGCACTGGGCCTTTAGTAAATTAATAAAACTATTTGGAACCAATTTTTCCTGGCACATGATGTTCCCTTTCAGTCTGTAGTAGCTCTAGTCTAGATGGTTCCCCTGCTTGACTTTTTGTTGTTTGTTTTGTCAAAATTCCAAGGTTCCAATTAAGTATATGCTGGTAATTCCTACCTCTTTTCTATATTCTATTGTTGTACATTTTTCTTAACCTTCATTTTTATTTCCATCTTATTTTGTTTTGTGCAAAATCTTATTTTGTTTTTTCCCCTTCAGAAACCTTTTTTCCCTTCATTTAAATGAGCTTTGCCCCCCCTCCTAATTTCCCAAGTGTTTTAGCTGACAGTGAAATTTCCTGGATTGTCTGTCTGTAAGAGATTTTTGTATGTAAGTTAGGGGTTGTTCACCTTTAGGGAGCTGATTTTTGTTGGGTCTTTGTGAGGTTTGCACTCCCAGCCCTTCTCACCATTTTTTATTCTTCTCTTTACTTCTACATTCAGCCCTCAGTGTGATCTCATTTGCAGTTATTTTGTAGAACACAGATCTGTTTCTTTCATATTATTTACAGGAGGTAAAGAAGGAGAGATGTATTTTCATACTCATGTTGATAGTGGAAGTCTCTTGTTTATTTTATGCCAACATAATTATTTCATAAAGGCAGTGATGAAATTTACTTTAAATCACAGCACTTAGTCTAACTAGCATGCTAAAAATCTAAGTTTTAAGATGTAGAAACATGTTATAATGTTTATGTTTAAGTGTATATTCTAGCTTTTAATTTTCTGTTTAGTTTGTTTTCTTTAAGGATTTGATATTTATTCAACAGCATATATTACTGAGTGCATACTATGTGCTAGGCTTTATTCTTTTTTTTTAAATTAAATCTTTATTGTTCAGATTATTACATTTGTTCCTCTTTTTTCCCCCCCATAACTCCCCTCCTCCCCCTACCTTCCCTCCAAGGCCCGACAGTCCAATCAATGCCTCTCCATCTCTGGATCAGTCCTTGTTCATCAGTTTATGATGTTCATTATATTCCACAAATGAGTGAGATCATGTGGTATTTATCCTTCTCTGACTGGCTTATTTCACTTAGCATAATGCTCTCTAGTTCCATCCATGGTGTGGCAAATGGTAAGAGTTCCTTTTTCTTCTTCCTCTTCTTAAAGAATACCTTTCAGCATTTCATATAATGCTGGTTTGGTGGTGATGAACTCCTTTAGCTTTTCCTTATCTGTGAAGCTCTTTATCTGACCTTCAATTCTGAATGATAGCTTTGCTGGATAAAGTAATCTTGGTTGTAGGTTCTTGGTATTCATCACTTTGAATATTTCTTGGCTAGGCTTTATTCTTAGCATTTGGGTTTACAGCTATGACCATAGCAGAACCATAGCCTTGGCCTTATGGAGTAGAATCCATGTGTGTATGTGAGTGTGAATGTGGATGTATATGCATGTGTGTGCAGTGGGGGGAAATACAGACAATACATAAAAACAAATAAACACGTACTCTCTTTAATAGGAATATTTCTAGTAAGTGGTAATGGAAAAAATAAAATGCAATAAGCATTGCTGAGAATCACTTAAAATGGAGTAGGGAGGCCACTGAGTAGGTGGGGCCTGTGCACATCCGGTGTCTCAGTTCTTAGAACTGTTGTTAAGTCGCTGACCTGTTGCTAAACTCAACTCAAAGTTGAACAACAAACATCTTGGATCCATGATTGCTACATGGACATCTACGGACTTTAATTCCTCTTCATCATGGTGACCAGACCATCTGCATTCTTCACCTTGAAAGGAACCAATCCATTTACACAGTGGATCCAACATTATTTCAGTGAAAAGAGGGGTTTGCTTTCTCCTGATAACCTTTGCTAAACTCTCACAAACTCACTGTGTCTGCTCTGGGAACAGAAGGAAAACTGAGAAATCTCTCTTAGTGTGTTATTCAGAGACACTTTGTACACCCTTTGCCTCAACCTTTCCCATCCAGCCTTTATTAGGTGAATTGCTGGAATTTAGAAGAATGAGAGAAAAATCAGACATTTCAAATGAAGGGTTTGGTCTCAAGTTCCTATATCTGGTAGTTGTCTGGGTTAATATGTAAATAACAGTGGAGAAACCAGTGGAGTACTGTGATTTGTCTCCTTCTTCTTCTTCTTCTTCTTCTTCTTCTTCTTCTTCTCCTTTTTCTTGTTCTTCTTGTTGTTGTTGTTGTTGTTGTTGTTGTTGTTGTTGTTCTTCCTTCTCCTTCTCCTTCTCCTTCTCCTTCTCCTTCTCCTTCTCCTTCTCCTTCTCCTTCTCCTTCTCCTTCTCCTTCTCCTTCTCCTTCTCCTTCTCCTTCTCCTTCTCCTTCTCCTTCTCCTTCTCCTTCTCCTTCTCCTTCTCCTTCTCCTTCTCCTTCTCCTTCTCCTTCTCCTTCTCCTTCTCCTTATTCTTCTTCTTCTTCTAGATAAAATTCTCCTCTATGTCTCAGACTTAGTTTAGTAATTAGGCAGAGGTGAAAAACTGATTTTCTCAATGTCCTGTCTTATAAATTGTTCTCTTCTTTGTAGGAGATTACACGTTTGTTCCCTGGCTTCTCAGCTTTAAAAGAGGAAGAGCCCTAGAAGAAAGAGAAAATAAAATATTAGTTAAAGAAACCGGTTACTTTTTTATATATGGTCAGGTAGGTTCCACCCTCATTCTGCTGTTGCTGTACAATGCTTCCCATTTTGTGCTCACCTCTGACAAAGCTCTTTGGTTTGTTTCTCAGGTTTTATACACCGATAGCACGTTTGCCATGGGACATCTAATACAGAGGAAAAAAGTCCATGTTTTTGGGGATGAATTGAGTCTGGTGACTTTGTTCAGATGTATTCAAAACATGCCTGAAACACTACCCAATAATTCCTGTTATTCAGCTGGTAAATAATAGTTCTCTGTAAATAGACAAAAAGATATTCCTCGATATACTGTGTGGTTTTGATTATCTTGAGTGATAAGCTGGTCTGTTTTAATTGAAGCAGATAAAATCATTACTAATAGTTTTATCATTTTTATATACATAATAATTTCATATACATATAAAAAGGGCAGTAACTTCATAGCAATCAACACTGAGAACCATTCTAAGCTGTATCTTCTTCACACTGTAATAACAACAGTGATAATAATCTATATTAATAAAAGCATAATATGATAATTAGACTGGAGAACCTTCTGGATGAAGCTGGGGCTGCGAGGGAAGCCCAGGTCCTGGGTACCTGCCGGCGGCTGGAGGGAAGCCTGGGTCCTGGGTGCCAGAGGAAAGCTGGTACTGGCAGCCGGGGGAAGGAAGGCCTACTCTTGCACGAATTTCATGCACTGGGCCTCTAGTAGAAGAATAAGAGAATGATTACCATGTGCCAGGCGCCCTGGTCTGCACTTTATGGTTGTTCACTTAACCCTCCTGTTTCAGGGAGGTGGAACCTAAGACCCATGTTGTCTTAGGTTGCACAACAACCAAGTTCCAGAACTTGGGTTAAACCAGCCAGGTTGATTGCAGAGTGTGAGCTACCAGAAACTCTTCTTTACTTGCTATGGAAGGCGTTCCCCTTGGCTGATGTGAGCATCAGGTCAAGTTACCCAGTGGCTTCTCACACTTTCATGCAGGTGACATCTGGTGTAATGGATCCCAGACAGGTGACTTGGGGATGTGAAATTGTTGCAGTGAGCCTGTATTTCAACTCAGGGGCAGTAAAGATACGGAGAGAAAAGAGAAAGGGTAGGCTTTATTTATTTCAGGTCTGTTTGGGCTGTATTGACAACATGGCCTTTATTTTGTTTGGAGGGGCGGTAATTCCAAATGAATCAAGGCTGGTATTAGAAAAAAAGAATATTTGTCTTAACTCATTCAATCCTCTATGGTGAGTTTGACAAATCCATTTGGAACCCCAAGGAATATCTTCAGTTGCAGTTGCCATGCATGGCAGTAGGAAACACAGGGTTGGAGACTGGCTGCTCAACTTGAAATGGCATATTTCAAAGGCCTTTATTAACAAATGCACAATGAATCAGAAAGAAAGGGAAATAGCATGTGATGATAGGGATGATGTCATTCTGGGTCTGCAGCCATAAACAGCTTTAACAGGGCGATGAGGAAATTTGTTACATTGGAAACCCCTAATTTTCATTAAAAAAAAAAAAGCTTCCCTGCACCCAGCAGTGACTAGTATTTTGGTGTTGCAAAATTTTATTAAACGAGGCTATGCCAACCTGCTATTTATTTATACCCATTAGTAGTTATAGCTTTACAGCAAACTTTCAGATTTTCTAATAAGCTGCTGCTCTCATATTTACTTTCTTGACAGATTTCCTGGGTGCCTTACTTTTTAAGAATAAATATTGACCCTGAAGATATTTCTCCATGCTAATAAGCTTAGTATTAAATAAAACCATTCTATAGGAAAATTCAGGTTTGTATCTGTTCTAGGGCACATGTGTTCAAAACCATTAAAAACTATACAAAACTATGTAAATGTCCAAAGTGCTTCCACAGTAACCTGAAAAAAAAATTAAAACTGGTCCTTTTGAGGGACCCAACATAATACCAAAGAACCTCTTTGTACACTAAGCAGAATCTTATTCATTATTCCATTTACAAATTAAATGTGTTTATTGTAGAAAAGTTTAGATTGCTATAAGCACAAAGAATTGAAATAGCCAATAACTTAGTGTCGGAATTTTAAATAGAATCTACCTTAAAAGTAGTCAGTTTTTGTGGATAAGTTGTGTAGATGCCCACAGAAGCATTCAAATGATATGATGTCTAGAATTTGCTTCAAATTATAGGTGAAACAAGATTGAGAATGGGTTAACAATCATTGAAACTGAATACTGAGTACATGGAGTTTATATTATTCTCTCTACTTTAGAAAACTTTTGACAATTTCCTACAGAAAAATAAAAAACAAAACATGTTTTGGTAGGGGTTAATTCCCATTTTATTTAAGAGTTAATATTACTTAATGCTTTGTGATCTATAGCCTTTGCCAAAATATTAGATTATCTTTAATCTCTATGATAATGACTAATAAAAAGTAATCCAAATTACTCCTTATCCCATAATCTTGCCTCTAGTCTAGAGAAAAACTATGTAATAGATGTGCTTTGTTAATGAATAGTATTTTTTATACTTTTGATGATTTATACATCTTATATGTACATTTAGAAGTAAATATAGTTGTGTATTTTTGTTTTAAATTATTATAAAAAGTTTATCATGTCAATAAAATGAAGCAAAACCATTTTTAACTATATAATATTACATCAATGGATGTGCTATGATGTACTTAACATTTTTTTTTCTTAAACTTTAACATTTGGTTCCTGTTTAGATTCTCCATTTATTAAGCAGTAAGTGGTAAATACATTTACATCTGCTGGAAGTCCTTCTGTTCATTTAACTTTCTTTAGGCTGGTAGAATAATAACTGGTTTAGAAGTCCACTGTTGTAATTTGAAGTGTAAATGCCTACATTAACCTTTTTCCAAAACAAAATTGTTTTATTTGACATTCCTTTTTATTTTCTTCCCCATTGGACAACCACTTTAAGTTTTTGTAAACCATTCTTTTCCAGGCATTGCAAAGCTGGAAGAAGGAGATGAACTTCTACTTGCAATACCACGTGGAGATGCTAAAATTTCACAGGATGGAGATGGCACTTTTTTTGGTGCATTGAAACTTCTGTGACCTATTTACACCTTGTTTGTGGCCAATTTCCTCCCTTTCTATGTATCTCTAAGGAGAAAGCACTTAACTGGAAATACCAAAAGGGAAAAAAAAAGTAGTTACCATAGCCTTTTCTGTGAGCTATTTGTTTTGGTTTGCTGAAACTAGACCGGACAGGAAATTTAACAGACAACCACAGCCAAAGGGTGTCATGTGAATTACATCTAAGGAGAAAGCACTTAACTGGAAATACCAAAAGGGGAAAAAAAAAGTAGTTACCATAGCCTTTTCTGTGAGCTATTTGTTTTGGTTTGCTGAAACTAGACCGGACAGGAAATTTAACAGACAACCACAGCCAAAGGGTGTCATGTGAATTACAAGAAGTAGAGCTCATTTAAGGAAAGATTGAATTAGGAAGACTTTTTCACCATAATGCCATGTCAAACAATTTAGTCATAGCTTCTTGTCTTAGAGGAAGCTCAGGGTTCGAAAGGGCCGTAATGATTTGTTCAAAAACGGTATTCCATTTTTCACTACGAAACAAGTGCCCATTTCCATAGGACAGTAAGACTTTAGGGGGAAATCTCAGAATTCATCCTCTCTGTTTATGTAAAATACACCCCTCTCCTTTTCAGTTAACATTGGAGAAAGTAAAAAGAAAAAATATATAGAAATTTTGCATTTCCTACATGTAAAAGTAATTAAAGCCTAAATTTAAACATCATATTAAACAATTGAAGATATAGTACTATTTAAGTCTTTTTTGGTTTATTTCAAGTTTGCAGTTTTTCTCTCTGATGTTATATATTACCCAATGGAACACTCCCCAACAGGTTTCATAGGAGGAGAATAACTCTCTCATGTGTTTGCATGTATGTGTGTTGTTTGTAGCTAATATTCAGAAACTTAATGTAGGGTAATTTTAATTCATGCATATAACCATTAATTGAAAAAATAACTATAATTATTCTTATATAAAAACAAAATCTTCACTAGAAATTAATGAGTACATTTGTAATAATGTAATATAAATTTTCTTTATTTCCTTTTCTGTTTTAAACTACTGTTCACATGTCCCAACCTTCAAAAACAGTCATGTTATTAGCTTTACTGAAGGTGAGGTTTAATTCAATTTCTTAGCATCCTGAAGTATGCTATATGCTATATGCTGTTTATAAAGTTACCATATGCCGGAAGATATCACCTAATTTTCATTTTATAAAGAACCATATTTGAGAATGCTATAATACTGACATTTATTACATCTATTTCCCCTTTGTTTTGCTTGCTGTTGTTTTTTAAATGTCAAATGTCATCAATTTAAAGAGCTTTCACTTCATTAAACAGTTTCTTTCATTAGTTTAATCAGTAGCTGGAAGAATAGACCCTGGTCAGCACTAAATTTCCCCCAGTCTGTATGAAAACAATGTTAAAGGTATAATTTTCAAAACAAAAGCAATGATTTGTATTTTTGTATATAAACTTAAACTTTGTTTAAATATAATTTTGACTTTTTTGTTAAAACAAAATCTATTTTGCAATTATTTTGTTTTACAATATAATCATTAAAAGGAAGGGATAGGTAGGGTAGGAGTTTTGATACCAGGAGGTGGTTAGGAATTTTCTTAGTGTTGCTGCTAACTTGGATTGCCAAATAAAAACGCTCCGAGTCTTTTGCCTCATTTTTTGATTGAGTTTGTCTAACACCACTCCTCTTTTAGTTTCTTTCCATATAACTACTAAATGCCATTTTAAAAATTAGGTACATACTTGTAAAACATTAGAAAGTCACATGTGTTAGGGCATGACAATAAGGTATTTGAAATCAAGAATATTTTACATATTTCAAAAAGGATTTATAGCCCTAGCTGGTTTGGCTCAGTGTATAGAGTGTTGGCCTGTGGACTGAAGGGTCCCAGGTTCGATTCTGGTCAAGGGCATGTGCCTTGGTTGCGGGCACATCCCCAGTAGGAGGTGTGCAGGAGGCAGCTGATCGATGTTTCTCTCTCATCAATGTTTCTACCTATCCCTCTCCCTTCCTCTCTGTAAAAAATCAATAAAATATATTTAAATTTAAAAAAGGATTTGTACACATTAGTATCTTATAAAGAAAGGATATAAATTACATATTTCTTGGAGAATAAGTTTGAAAAGATAATCCTGCACTATAATAAGCTTGCACATTAAGCTATTAAAATCTGTAGCTTGCACCATTATTCTTTATAAATGACCTAGCATATTTTGTCAGCAGGTGTAGAATTCAGCCACATAAAATATTCTTAAATCTTATATTACTTTCGGTTTAAACCATTGTTAAAATGTGAACCCTATCTTCCTCGTATATGAAATGTGAGGAATATTAGACTTTGGTTGAATGAAAGTTTATTTAGATATCAGGAAATAGAATTAAGATCAGGTGTGTATGGGGCTCCTACCGCAGCAGCAGCTGCCCGAGTTCCCACTGCTCTACCCTTCCCCCAACTTATTTTAGGAAAAAAAAAAGATGTTATACTAGGATTACCTACAACAGAACATTTCTAAGGTTTAAGTGTATGGATCCAGTCCAGACACTCGTGTCCAAAATCTGAAATCAGGAGTGTGATGATGAATAACTACTTGAGGGTATTAAATTGTTCACTTGTGTGGGAACTAAGCCAGTTAGCACAGCGCCCAGAGGGAAGTCATGTGCAGCCCTCAGTGGCCTCTGGAGAAATCAGCTCCACTCTCAGTCATCGTGTAACAGACGGTCCTCCCAGTGTGGTTTGTTATGGAGGCAGCAATGTATTGATAAAATTTCATAAATTCTTTTGTAATTTGAATTATGAATTATAAAATAGTGCCTGTTATCTGTCTGGCCCTATGCTAAGAACCTGGGAGTTATAAAATATTGCTTACTCCAGATTAACTGCATGCACATTCACTTTGTAAAATTAATCTTGTAAGTTTGTATAAATTTGATTTACCTCCTTCCCCCCCCCCCTCTTTGAGGATATTTGTCACAGCATGATTTTAAGAGTAGCCCCTCACACCCTAACAAAAAAGAAACAACTTCAATAAGTGTCTGGCTGTGTAGATTAAGGTATGCCTACATAATGGAATGCTATGCAGCCATTAAAATTATGTCCTAGAACCCTATTCCAAGTCCTGGAAGATGATCAAGAGAGTCAAGTGGAAAAGTAGGTTATAACAGCATGTAGAGTATGATCCCATTTTTGGTAAAACAAAAAATATCAGCATAAAAATAAAGGACAAAAGAAAAGCAAACACGAAAGCAATGGTGATTGTCTTTGAGTGCAGGGGGTTATCTTAGAATGATAGAATAGTTTTAATTTCCTTTCTCTGCCTTCTCTGAATGTTCTACAATAAGTATGCGCTGTTTTAATGATGAAACACTTCTCACTTCTTGAACTGTTACTCGAAGGAGAGTTTCACCACAGGATCTGTCTTTATTAACAGACTCTCATTAATTGGGTAGGTGGGCTCTCTCTCCCTTTTTAAATGTTTTTATTTATTTATTTATTTTTTACAATAAGATTTGGAAATAGCCCAAGTGCCCATCATTAGATGAATGGATAAAAAAGCTTTGGTACATTTACACAATGGAATACTATGTACCTGTGAAAAAGAAGGATCTCTTACTCTTTGGGACATCATGGATGGACCTAGAGACTATTATGCTAAGTGAAATAAGCCAATCAGAGAAAGACAAATATCACATGATCTCACTTATTTGTGGAATCTAATGAACAAAATGAATTGACCAACAAAATAAAACCTGAAGCATGGCATGGAACAAACTGACAAAGCTTAATGTGGGGGTGGGGGTAAGAAGACATAAACCAAAGAAGTTATATACCCATATGCATAGCCCATGGATACGGGCAATAGGGTGGTGAAGGCCTGGGGAATGGGGATAGAGGCTGGGTGGAGGGGGATAAAGTGGTGAAAATGAGGGACATCTGTAATATCATCAACAATAAAAAAATATCCTATATAATAAAGAGGTAATATGCAAATTGACTGTCACACCTTCACACAAGATGACTGTCCCCATGTGGTCAAAGATGGCCACACCCATGTGGTCACAAGATGGCCACCACAAGATGGCCAGCAGGGGAGAACAGTTGGGAGCGACTGGACCTGTAGTGGAGGGAGGGCAGTTGGGGGTTACCGAACCGGCAGGGGAGGGCAGTTGGGGGCAATCGGGCCAGCAGGGGAGCACTGGCAGGGAAGTGGTTAGGGGGTAATCAGGCAGGCAGGCAGGCAGGTGATCAGTTGGGAGCCAGCAGTCCTGGATTGTGAGAGGGATGTCCAACTGCCAATTTAGACACCCCCCCCCAGTGCACGAATTTTGTGCACCAGGCCTCTAGTATATAAAATAAATTTGATTAAGTTTTACAAATTAATTATGATTAGAAAGGGAATCTAAGATCTCTAGCCTTGCTCACGTCAGAGTAGCTTCTCCGGGTTCCTCTTCTTTGGGCCACGCACAGGAATGAAGGGCTGGCATGGGGCAGTCAGCACCTCCAAACACGGGCTATCCCTGCGAAGCCATGTCCAGACCATCAGAAGGGAGTGTAATTTTCTTTTAAGCTTGGTTTGAGGTTGTCTTTGATTTTCTCATCTTCACCATTGGCATTATCCAAGTTACTAAGCCTTTTGTTATTTAAAAAATAATTTAATGACATTGTGTTTAAGATCACTTTAAAAATAAAGATAATAAAATAAAATTATAGAAATATTTAATAATACAGTACAAGGAAAGATTTGTTGTTTATTTAGATTTATTTTACAATCTTATGGCCTTTACCAATACTTTGAATGACATATTTAGAATATACGATACTTTCAGTTCGTTTATTTCTCATAGCAACTCCATGAGTTTACCAGTACTGTTACCTTCATCCCTCAAATTATAAAACTAGTAAACAACTGAACTGGGATTTGAAATTCCAGGGGTGTGGCCCTAGAGCTGTGCTGGAGGTCCTACTGCAACTGTGCACCTTTTCTCTACAATTTTGGGCATTTGTTTTGTTTTAGTTTTATCTTGTATGTTTTTATAGGTCCTACTGCAACTGTGCACTGTATTTAGAACCAATCACA